GAGCGGCAACAAGAGGAGGCCGGTGGATATCCAGTCAATCGAGTCAATCGAAGATGGAATTTATGAGCTTTATTGTTGTTCTTCGCGTCGTTTGGATCCTTCAAGCCCAAGCCTGAGTTCAATCGAAGGCGACCAGTTGAATTCTTCGAGTTTGAATTCAAACGACCGCATAACGACGACGAGCGATCGATCGCTCCGTACGATCCGTACTTCTGTAAACGACCAACTGCAACTGCAAGCCAGTTCAAACGACCAATGCCGGTCCTGGGTAGGCAGAGAGCAACAACACAAGCGATCGATCGCTCCGTGATGTTGTTCTCGTATGTGTTACTCGAGTTAATGAAAAAGTGAGGAGCTCTCAAGGAAGATATAACACAAGCATGACTCAGCCAGTTCGAACCTCCCGAAGCATGACTCAAGGCATGACACACAAGCCGAGCCTTATGTATGCATTTGGAGCTCATTTTTCGATCGATCGATTCATGCTGAAGCTGAGCATGGAAGCGATAGAGATAACAGTAGTAGCAGTAGAATCAATAGTAGTAGTAGCAGTAACAGAAGCAGTACCAGTAGTGGTTCCTGCAGCGATCGATTGATCGTATTGGATAATAGGATCCTCATTGAGATTACGATCGTCAATAGGATTAAGAACAAGGGGACTGCTTTTGAGCAAATCCAAGATAATAGGATGATCCTCACTGAGATTACGATCGTCAATAGGAGTAAGAACAAGGGGATTGCTTTCGAGCGAATCCAAGGGAAGTGAGTTGCAATAAAGGGAAGGACTATCGATGAAGAATGCAAGAGGAAACTCATCAGGAGCAATCTGCATCAAGGAGTAGCGCAATCCATTGACAACCATAAGGGATAGACATATAAGAATAAGAATGAGTAACATCTCATAACCTCGCATGCTACCATGCGACAATACCATTGTGCATTGATTAATCTAGCTAGGGATCTAAGAGATGTAAAGTTTGTATTTCCAAATAAGTGAGCAGTTATTGATTATTTTCTAGAATAAGCCTGCCAATTGTAAAGCTGTAAAGCTGAATTGTAAGCTGTATCCCGTCGCACCGGGGTGGGTGTGGCAGTGCAAGTACCATTTCTGAGATGTGCGGTGGACTCGTCGGCCAGCCTGGTGTCGGATCCCTTTTGTGCCGCTTGGCTCGAGCCACCCGCTACGGCAGCCAACCTTTTTGGAATCTCTCCCGATCAGGTAGACTTGCTGGCCACGGTCACTCTTGCTATCTACGTTGGCTATTTGCTGTACTACGTGGCGATTCCACTACGCGAAATTGGACGAAATGGTCGCATGTCCAGATCCTCCTTTACATTCATTGAAGGCTGGGTTGCACTTGGATTCTTGAAGGATGATGATGAACCGTGATGCGATGCCAAGTCTACAGATTCGATTCATTCACCCTTTAAGTCCAGCACAATACCGGTACGCTGTGAGGAGTACAGTCACGCCATGTAAAGCGGATACTGGGTTTCTTCAATATTCTGTTTACTTGGCCAACCCATGTTCATGTCTACATGTACGAATGTAGCCTGTAGTCACATGCGTTTTCTTCTGCCACTAGTAAGGTTTTAACAAGCTCCCAAACGAGGTCAGGGCTAGTGACTAGTCAAAAGCGTCTATACTGCACCCGTAGCGGTAGATGTCCCCAGGTGAGCTGCCATTGCGACGAAGGAAGGCGGACTTGCCAACAACAGCCAATACACGCCATGAAATGACACATTGGTGCAGCGGGCTTGCCCCACCTCTCTTATTTGTGACTCCTTTTTGTCAGGAGGCAATTGACATGACCTGGCCACCTCTTGACGCAATAGCAAGCGTCTTTTTGGCATTTGAATGTCCTGTTTTCCATCATTATGGCTGTTGTTGTTCTTCTTCTTCTTTCAGTTTAGTTCTCGTGTCTTCCTGATTCATGCCTTGATCCTTGCAGTTGTTGTGCTTGTTGTTATGACTGTTTCTGCTTTGATTACCACGCGACACTGTTGTATTTGGCTCATGTTTGGGAATTGTTGTTTCATGGCGGACTCCCCCAATTTCATGGTTTTGACTTGTCCCATGCCATCCTTGTATCCCGTGTAGAGTTGATCGAGGATCTGCATCATGGCCTGGTCGTCGACTGTGGCAAAGGGTCGACTGTTTTCCTTGTCGAGGCGTGTATTGTCTCCCAAATTGACAAAAACTTGGGTGGTGCCCGGATTTCCTCCGGCAAAGGAGAGTGTGCCACGTACATTGGACAGTGTTTGATCGTGAACGTCATCCTTGTCTTTCACCGTTGGTTTGGGGTCCATTGCAGGAAGTGTTTCCATACCTTCATGTCGGACTCCAAATTGAGCGACAAAATGCTTGAGGACTCGAAAGACAAAGACTCCGTCGAAATGACGTGCTTCGACGAGTTTGATAAAAATGTTGGAAGCACTGGGGGACAAGTCATGACGTACGGTAATGTGCATGACACCGGTTGTGGTACTCGTTCCATTGTTGATAGGAGTCTGGACGGTACAGTCTACCAAGGAAGTGCCTTTGGGTGTGGTTGTTGTCGTAGTTGCGACTGTGGAAGAAGGACCGAGAGAATGGTCGTCTGAAATCTTGGAAAATGCGGTACTGCCCACGAGAGCCGTCAACACTCCACCCGCCACCAGGATGACCAGCAACAAGCCCTGTGGATTGATCAGTACTCGCTTGTTGGCCGCTTGGCCTCGGCGACGATTCACACCGCTCTCCGTCGTCATGGTTGTCTCTAAAAATTGAGGTGTGGATCTTTGCCGAGAGGAAACGGCAAAAAAGATTCGGCTGAGTCTTGGGTGTTTTCGGTTCGTGACTGATGTCATCTCCTCGCCGTCGAAATGACGTGCTTCGACGAGTTTGTGTCACCATAGAAATAAGTATGGGGACCTACCACTGCGTTGGCTATTACTGAACAAGTCATGCTTCAGTGCGGGTCAGTTGAATTTGGTGCCATCATTTGGTGCCGGTGCAGTTCTCCTGCACCGTCCTCGCACCGCACTGCACCAAAATTAGGGGCACTTCAACTAGCGTAACTAGAGTAACTGACGTAACTAGCGTAACTAGCGTAGGGTAACTGACGTAACTGGCGTGCAACTGATGTAACTGGCGTAGAACATTGGAGGACGACTAACGTGGTTGTCATTTCAACTAGCTTTGTATTGTAAACAACTCTATAGAGACAACAGAGCAACGGCAACACTGTTTATAATGAGTTACATTTAGTTTTCAATCTTTTGCAGCACTTAAATCACTGCAGTGGCACCTGCCTCTTTTCCAACAGCTGAGCTCTGTGAGATTCATCCAAGTCAGTCAAACAAGATGATGATCCAAGTCAGTCAAACAAGATGGTATTGCTTCTTTGAATCAAGCTCTAAAGCAATACAATTAATTTGGTGTTAGTAGATTACTCTGTAGTAGATAAAACCTACTTGTAACTCAGTCATTGATAGCTAGCTAGCTAGTAGCTATAGATCAACAGCAGCAGCAGCAGCAGCAGCAGCAGCAGCAGCAGCAGCAGCAGCAGCAGCAGCACCAGCACCAGCACCAGCACCAGCACCAGCACCAGCAGCACCAGCATGTAGTATTGGTACATGAGTCCTCAGTCAACATGGCATGTAGATTCTTAATAACAAGGCTTTTAAATTTTTACTTTTAATATTTTTACCTAAAAGTAAAATTTCATTTGTGTACAGGCTGGTTTCTCTGCGTCTCCCACAAAAGACACACTTGGTACATTTGCTTTAAGGCTTTGAGTCTCTCACTGGTTAAATAATTGGCTACTCATTAAATACTTAAGAACACTAGGTTCTTCTAAGGACTTAACAACTTCAACTGACGTGGAAGGTGCCATTCTCCTTTAGGAGCACTGCACCAAGGAAATGGCACCAAATTCACGCGACTCTTCAGTGCAGATACTTGACTATCTCATCAGTCTGCAGCCTGACTTGCATGAACCTGAGATCCTGCACTGGTGTTATGGAGACATCAGCGCTGGCAATCCTTTGTTGGTGGAATATCTGATCCAGAAGTTCCCCCAGTGTGTTCAAATACAAGACGAGAACGGTCAGATTCCCCTACACAAGGTGGCTTATTTGCCCTTCATTGGCAAAAAGTTTGAATTTATGAAGCATGCCCATGTGACAATGCTGGTGGATGCTTATCCAGAGGGGCTTTTTGTCAGAGCAAGCAATGGACAGACACCATTGGAAGCACTGTTGAACCGTCAATGCTTGGAAGAAACTCGAGAGTTCATGGAGGAGACAATGAAAGACATTCTCAGTGGCTCTCTCAAAAATCTCAAAAATAGTGAAGTTTCCTTGTGAGTGCGGTACCTGTAGAGGGCTTATGTTGGTGGCATCACCACATCTTGGAAGACTCGAGGGCGCGGCGGGTTGCTAGACTTCCTTCATATGTATAAGGATTTTATGGTCTACTTCACTATTGGTTGCGGTGAGATAGATTCAACTTGAGCCTACTTCGGCTGCATTAAGGTGGGTTCTCTAGCTAGCAGACAACACTCTCTTGCGCTCTTTTGGTTCTTCGTGGGCGAGAGTACGACTCCTCTAGGTGCGCTATCTCGTGTAATACTTATTTAGGTAACAACCTATTGGGTCCGGAGGACCTTTCTAAACGCTGGCAATATTTGAGCCCGAGGGCCCAAAATAGCTGAGTCGTATACAATTGATGAATTGCACGATAGGGAGATTAACGGTGCACACCAAGTTCAAACACTGAAGGAGGAATGCTCATAGTAGCACGGCTAAACTATCCTATAGTCTCACGCCGTTCACCTCCGCCCCTGAACAAGGGGCAGGTCCTTACAGCTCTACTTACAACGAAGTGTGCATCTTCCCATATGACCTGGAGCGCGGTGGCTAGCCAGGATTTAACCTATAGAAGGGCGCTGATCGACACAGTCATCATCGATCCACTCCACCACAGGTGCGTCGAGTGATCAGGTCCCATGTGTGGCCATTGCCTTGTCATGAAGGGCAAGATGCCAGCAGAAGTCGCATAGGCGGTAGGCGCACATAGACTGGACACCAGGACAACGATTCAGGAGGTTGCACCCTAATTCAACAACACTGGAGCGAACATGTCAGGACCAGAACAAGATGCCGACAAGAGCCATCAACAAGCCGATAGGGCAAGTGGCCCAAACTGGAAAGCGACAGTGCCCAAAGGAGCCGCAGTGTCTGCTGGGGCGGTGTGGACAGTAGTAAGGAGGGAATTGTGGGTGGATCAGTTGGAGAGAGGGTGGTTGTGGGCTGAGTAGCCATTGCGAATGTATGCTGGAACCGGGCCAAGCGAAGGGTAGGGTGTGCTTATCTGTGGCTAGGCATGATGATCTGGTGGTACTGCCGCAAAGCGGTTTTGTAATATCGTGTAAATGTTGCGACCGTCGGGACACTCCGTTCAGCTCCAAAGCAAACTCAAGACCAGGGATAAATGCTCTTGTGGAGGGTGGAAGAGGGGGATTGAATTCGAGGGAATCTATTCCACACGGGCAGGCGCCATGCCTACTGGGCACTCACCATGGCACAAATCATCAGGTATGATCAAGGGCTAGTTAGGGGCAAAACTAATGGCGATGAGCACAGTGGTTACAGAAAGGCGGGTCAATCCCATACAAAGTCACAAAGATATACCAAAACATCAAAGCAGGCCACAAAAAAGAGAGACCTTTCCGAATGGAGGCATTAGGCTGATTCCAGAGGCTAACGAATAAACTAAACTATTTCAGGTGGAACTACACTGCCGCAAAGAAGATCACCCAGCTACAAACCAGAGCCAGTAGAGACACAGTGGTGCAGGGGGATCAAGGGTGTGCAATCTGGTTGATGGAGGCGCTGTTACTAATCAGGTTTGAACATCAACCACGAGGGGGTGCATTGTTTGTGGCGTTCTAGCTAACTCAACATACATGGTCGAAGGCCACCTAAACATTACGACAGACCTTCAACAAAGAGTCAAGACCAAAGAATCTTGTAGCCAACAGGATACTCGATCTTCATTGTTGGAGATGGACAAAGATACTGAGGGAAGCACTCACCTCAACAATCGCACTAGAGAGGTATAGAGTACAGGTCGGTGTTGATATCCTGAGGGCACCACACACCATACTACAGCTGCGGTACTAGCTCTGGGGCATACCAAATCCTTTGGAGCCAGACAAACTCAGTAGGAGAGTCAGGTGTAGGAGCAGAGAGGTGGCTGTTTCAATGAAGGTGTTGCACATTCTGTTATAACCAGAGGGTCAACTTTTGTAGTTTGTTGTTGTGTGGGTGAGGTCCTTTGGGGAGGAGTTGGGTATCCCAGGGAGGGGTTGTTGAACGATGAGAGTGCAGTCAAGCCTGGTGATAGGCCTGAGCAGGGTGACTGGCTAGACTGACCTTAGCTGGAGCCAACCTGTACCCAAGTCCTTACAGGAACTCTGTTGTTGTTTAACAGTAGCAGGTGTTGATCAGTTAATCAGTCTGTATAGGGTTAGGACTGGTTGGATCAGTGGTATCAGTTCCAACAAGGGTTTCGGGAGAAACCACTAGTGTCCGGTGAGAAAGTAAAAATACAGGTGTAATTCTCTACTCTGCTGTGCGTCGCCACTACCCAGCCGCAAGGTATCTTTGTAAGTCCTCTTGATATAGTACGGAACCACAACAAGATCAAGAACGAGTGGACCACTGTCCGTTCGACCATCGTACACGGAGGGAAGAGGGGTACGGAGAAAGAGGTACGATCGGGGAAGATCGATCGACTTCACGAAGATCAGTGAGTCTGGATCGATTCGATTACCAGTATGCAAATCGATATCGATTCGGGAAGGAAGCTAATCCGCCAAATAAGGAGATAAGGATTAACCGATGCCTGTTCAGTATGTATGAGGAATGAAAAAATAAAGAAAAAACTACCAAACGATAGACCAACACACAAAAAAACCACAAAAAGCGGATCGGTCAATACAAACAGAAAAGAGGATAAAGCACCACAAAACAAAAAAAATAAGGAATATCTTGTCACGGCCGTACTTAGGACCGAGGCTTCCAGAAACAACAACATCACGTATGGAAACTCTGAGGTTTTCTGCTTGTGATGTGCTGGGGAAGACCGGTGACTTCTTCTTGTGTTCAAATCCTTCCAACTTGGCCGTCGGCGGTCGAGAATCAAAAAAACCCCCCCGCCCAATGGTAGGATTTAATTCGGGATGGTTTTCTAATCTGAACCGAGAAAGGCCGCTTTGATAGTCGACTTGATAGAGGAGGTGCGTAAGGAGATAGGAGGTATCGATCCGTTCTGGCTTGAATAGGATGAAGAGAGGAAAAGGGTGATGTTTTCCGTGATGACGTTTGAGTGGATTCCTATAGCAAACAGTACTCTTCAACGAAATACAGATAACAGCTTCCTTGAGGTCCTTTCGCTTCGTTACAATGCTTCCAATGGGTCTAAAGTGTGTGATGATAGAGGTAGAAGTGACCGTCGTTATTATCGTTGTTATTAGTGTTTTTGGTTGACAGATCCAGCGGCAGGAGCAGTAGTTGCTCCCGCTTGAAAAGTGGCTGAAAGATGCTTAATACTCCAGAGGCGGTCTTATAATTGTCAGAGCAACAATGGACAGCACACCATTGGAAGCCTAGTATGAAACCCCAGCCTGTCAATAGCTACTGAAAGAAGGAAACTACGACGAGGAGTTCCATGGAGAGAGACAATGAAGAGCATTCTCAGTGGC